TAACATAAAATGACTTAATGAAGAGCCCGACTCACGCGATAAAAACCGAGGAGGGTAAGGCAGTGACAAACAGAAAACTCGAGAAAATTCCTAAGAAAAGAAGATCTAACTCAAAGAGGGACAAAAAGGTATTAAGAACATGAAGAACATGCAAAGACGCTCCAGATCAGAAAAACCCAGAAGTGCAAAAAATCATGAAAAATCGAAGAAAAAAGAAGAAGGCGAAAAAGTTTAAAGAGCATAATACTTACACATGATCGTCGTTGAAAGACTTGAAACTTGCGGTTGCCGGAGAAAGGGTCGCCGATGAAGCTCGGAAGCGCCTTATTGCCAGAGAGATTCGAAAGCTCAGAAGAATTTGAGAAAGGGAAAAGTGATTTGGAACAGAGAGGGAAGGTATTTATACAAGAGGCAGGAGGATCCTAGCCTTTAGATTTAATTGGAATCAACGGTTCGGATGAATCGCGGAATTCGAGGCGGCGGACTTAAAGCGATGTGATAATTATGAATTTGAAATTCGAAATTCGGAAAAGAAGAGGGAAAAGGTGTCAGGTTGTCAGAATGACCTAGAAGGCAATGATGAAACCCCTACAGCATTGAACAGCCACAGGGGTAGAGCTTTTGATGTCAAGAAACGGAGAACGAGTATAGTTAATAAGAGAAGTCGAGTACCAAATTTACTCTTAAACAGTCGACTGTTTAGAGTAATTTTCGGGGGGGACTAGATGATATAGTCATATAAAGATAACCCGGTCTAAGAGGCTTCCCACTCGACCGGTGAGCCATTTGAACGACTCGCATATCGAGATAACTCGTCGACATGCTCAAATCGACTTCCATAAAGTCGATTCTTCTGGAAACAACCAAGGGGCAGAAATCAGTCAGTCGACTCCTGTAAGTCGACTTCTAACTCTCGACTTCTGCTAGTCGACCTCATATCAGAAGGACATCAAGAAGGTGACTCCCAACCACCCGGATACTCTAAGTCGACTCCAGCTAGTCGACTCGCCAGAAGTTAAACCGGGTGTAGCCTCTGGAACCGCACATATGTGTAAGTCGACCTCCTCATGCTCGAGGTCGACTCTGTACATCTCGAAGATCAAAGTGGTGAAGACGATTCACCACACTTGCAACCTACCCAAAGCTCCACACATTATCAAAGATAAGAAGGAATCTCACTATGACTCAGCAACAAAGGGGAGACGAATCGACAAGGGCATTTTGGACCTTCTAGGTCCACCGACTTGGGCATTTTGGGCATTTCAAGTAGGTATTCATTCCTATATAAAGGGGACGAGGTAACCTAAAACCCTAACTCTCATTCATTTTCACTATCCCCTATAGCTGCTGCGCAGCCTTTTTTCATCACTCTCATACTAACTTGAGCGTCGGAGGCTCTACGCCGGAAACACCTCCGGCGTTGAGTTTTTGCAGGCATTCGTGCGGTCTAGCGACGGTTTAAAGACGGTTCAAGCAGATCTGAGCTCATAACCACCGGTTTACTCCAGATCCAGAAGTAGACCCATCAGGTATTGATGGTTGTTTCTCTAGAAAATAAATTAATCAATATATGGTATAAAGTGAGCAAATTTATTTAGGTTATTTGATAACTGCTTTTTGCTAGGAAATTTGTTGAAAAATTAATCAATATACGGTGTACTTTTTTCTGTAATGCACATGCTAATATATTGGTATTTTAGGCGTGGATTTCAATTTTTCATATAAAATTAACATAATAAAAATTACCGTAACTCCGACAAAATAATATGAACTGATATTTTGATATAATGTGTGTGTATCGATATTTTTTTTATAGAAAAAGCTCTGGTCATTTTTTATTTTTTGTATAATTAGTGGGTCTCGATTGAATTCATCTTTTGTTACGACATTTCAAATATTTTTTGTGTGAAATGCAATGTTCGTTTTTTTAGCATGATAAAGAGTGTTGATTTTTTTGGCATAAAAAATCTTATGATTGATTGCTTTTACTCAACTACTTAAATTTTTTTGATTTGGATATTTTATACAAAATAAATTCATTTTAATTAATTAAACAATAAAAGTTTTATATTTATTTATACTTATTATTCACATAGGTTTTTAGATATATGATAAACTTTTACCAAAATAATTATTTTATAGAATCACGTTAAAGTCAAATTGAATTTCTGAATAAAAATTTTGAAATGACACATATTTTGAAATGATAATATATTATCAATTATGTCAAAGCATGAGATGTGTACTATTTTTAAATAGACATTTTTATGTAATTTTGCAATTTAAATTTTATATAACATTTTCAATAAATTATATAGGTGCATTGTATTACATATTGATTTCATGTTTTTAAATTATAAATATTATTTAATGAGAATTTTTAATTTATAAATAGTAATTAATATCTCTTGCTCGTGCCTCGCACAAGATTCGTACTAGTTGATTGTTAAAAACATTTTCCTCTCGGCAAGCGATATCGAACGACAAGAAATCCAGATATATAACAAAAAAAACCCTTGTTGTGAGCCAGTTGATGGAGAGCGAGTGCAGGATAGGCTTGGTTCTTGAAGGCGGAGGCCTACGACGGAGGCTGGAGGCGGAGGGTGGAGGTCGGAGGCAGAGACTGGAGGCAGTGCGGCGGAGGCTGGAGGCGAAAGATGGAAGCGGTATTTGAAGGCCGACGCCCGAGACGGACGCCAGAGACGGAGGCGTGGGCAGAGGTCGGTGAGAGGCGACGAGGAACGGCTGAATTGAGAATTGAGATGAGAGGTAGATTTCTTGTGCAGCAGCGGGCGAGGCAAGGGTTCGAGAATAGAGATGTGTGTGACTGTATGTTTTGCATCTGACTATTATTTAACACAACAATTCAATGACTGGGATTTAAAATCAGAATTTTACTTAATCCTCGTCATCCAATTTATATAAAGCTCTATTTATTTTTATTTTTTTTTAAATTAGGCAGGCCGGCCCGCCTTAGCCCGTGGCCCGCGGGCTAGGCCATGTAGGCCTGCTTCCTGGCAGGCCTGAAAAATTAAGGTCCAATACGCCCCTTTTGCGGGGCGGGGCAGGCCGGCCCGCGGGCCGCGGGCTATTTTGACAGCTCTAACCACAGGCCGGTTCAGGGTCGATTCAATCGATTCTGGTCAAACTAGTGGGCTGGGCCATCCAATTGCCATGACTAGTACTCTTAGCCAATGATTTAAATATCTTACCATACCGGCCGGTAATACCGATAATACTGGATACCGGCCATTGGTACGGTACTATTACACTCAAAATACCGGATTTACGGTTATACCGGTTTCTACTGAAATCATACCGTAAATATCGGAAAATCCCGGTCCAAAATATCGGTCAATAATAAATAAAATAAAATAAAATAAAAAAACATAAAATTTAAATTTCTAGTTAAAATGTTTTATTTTTATCTCATTGAGAAGTTGAAATTAATGATTATGGTCATTTATTTTTTACTTTTTTGCATTTGGTATTATATATTTTTATGTATATTTATATATATCATTATATTTGCTAGTCCGGTAATACCACCGATATTACCGGTCGACTGATAATACCGCGTACTGGTGGCTAGACCGATATGACCACCGGTATGGTATTTAAAACACTGCTTTGAACCCGTAAGATATAAACAAGAACGTGCATACAGTACCTCTACTTTCTTTTTTCTTTTTTTTCCAAAACGAAGAATAATATATTATAGAACCATAAGTAGAAACAGAGTCTAGCCAACAGGCTTTACAATTACAATATGTACAGAACCATTGACAACACAAACTACCATAACTAACACCAAGCAAGGGAGGCTTCTCTAATAAGAGGGCCTAGCAAGAAGATAAGAGACTGATGGGCAATCTAATGGGCAGTATAGAATACTGAGGCCCTTAGATTTTCATCAGTCCAAAGAATACAACCTAGCCACTGCTAATGCCTAGCTAGTGATATGGAAAAAAAAAAAACAGAAACTCAAGAAAGAAAGAAAGTTAAGTAGAACAAGCTATTACAAGATATTTGAGAATTCTAACCAATCCGAACATGCATAATCCACAATGACCCTCTCTTGCAGCCAACCCTTGTCAAAAATCCATAGGTTCCTAGCTTTCCACAACCACCAGAGGATGTAGGTGGTTAGTTGGATTCTCTCTTCTGCTTCCTTACAGTCATGCATGAGGCATATATCCTTCCACCAATCTTTAAAGCTAGTGATATCAGTCTGCATATTGGACCATGCCACAGGAGCCAGCTTCCATACTAGTTTAGCTCTAGGGCAATTAAAGAGTAAATGCTCTGTTGTCTCTTCACACTCTCCACAGACTTGACAGGTGCAGTTCACTCTCATTCCTCTCTTGCAAATGTTGTCACTGGATGGTAGGATCCCAGAAAAGCATTTCCAGATGAAGTGCTTTATCTTCTTCTTGATTTTAAGCCTCCAGCTTATTTTCCTCACTTTGTTTATCCAGACAGACTGTGAACTTGACTCTGGGATGTCCAAATCATGTATTTTATTTTTTTATCATAAATTCATATGAAGAGGCCACAGAGAAATTACCTTTTTTATTCAGGCTCCAAGAGAAACTGTCACTTTGCTCTCTATTGATTGTGTTGATACTCAGAATTGCTTCGCACTCAGTTGGGGTAAATGTCTGTCTTAAGAGGGTTCATTCCAGTTATTCATCCCTGGCTGCATCAGTTCCCATACCCATGTGAGATTGCTGGGATGGTGTTCTCTTTTTGCTGGTTTTCTGTTAGGTAGCTTTGGTACCCATGGGTGGTCCCAAATTTTTGTGCTCTTTCCATCTCTTATTATGATGAGAAGTCCCTTCTGGAGGTGTGGCTTCACTGTCATCCAACTCTTCCATAACCATGAGCTGCTCAAAGGAGGTTTGCAGTCCAGCATAGAGCAATTTGGAAAGTATCTGTCCTTGAGAATTTTACTAACCAACAAATGAGGTTTAGTGAATATTCTTCAAAGCTGCTTGAGGATAAGAGATTCATTGAAGAGTTTTAGATCAGTAAACCCCAGCCCCCCATAGGCTATGGGAAGGGTCAGAACTTCCCATTTCCTCCAATGTATTCCTTTCTCCTGATTTCCCCCTTTGGACCACCAAAAATTAACAATTAATTTAGAGATATCAGAGTAGATGCTTGAAGGCAAAAGGAAGCAAGACATTATAAAGAGAGGAAGGGTTGTTAGGACAGCTTTAATAAGCACCTCCTTCCCTGCAGTGGAGAGGTATTTATTCTTCCAGTTACATATTCTACTTCTGACTGCTTCTATAATAAAGGAAAAGGTTTGTTTTTTTGAGTGGCCAATACCCAAGGGGAGACCTAGGTACTTTGTGGAAAATTGAATTTGAATGCCACTAAAAAGGTTGCAAATGTTAGTTTGAATAGAGGGAGGTGTATTTCTACTAAAAAATATAGAAGATTTACATAAGTTAATTTTCTGACCAGAAATATGGTAGTAGCTATTAAGGATGCTCAAAATCTCCATAGCCTGAGAAGGAGAAGCTTGGCAAAACAGTAAGGTGTCATCTGCAAAAAGAAGGTGGGTTATGGGTGGACCATTTTTTGATATTTTTAGACCTGTGAGGGTACCATTAAGAGCAGCATTTTTCAACAGACAAGATAAGATTTCTGAAACAATAATGAAAAGATATGGGGAGATTGGATCTCCCTGGCGCAGACCTCTAGTGGGGAAGACATATCCACATTTTTTACCATTGATATTAAATGAAAAACTAGAGGTAGAGATACATGACATGATCCATGTGATAAATTGCATGTGAAATCCCATTTTTTGCATAACAGATTTAATACAAGACCACTCTATTCGATCAAAAGCATTTTCCATATCAAGTTTTATAGCCATGTAGTATTTTGTTCCTGCTTTATGTCAATTCAAATAATGAATGGCTTCTTGAGCAATCACCACATTATCTAAAAGCTGTCTTTCTAGGATAAAAGTTGCTTGATTTTCACTTATGCAAACAGGTAGACAGCTTTTTAGTCTAGAGGCAAGGGTTTTAGAAATAATTTTATAGGCTACACAGCAGAGGCTTATGGGTCTGAAATGCTCAACTTTAAAAGGACTCTGGATTTTGGGAAAAAGAGTAATCATGGTGTGGTTCCAAGACTTAGACATGAATCCAGAATTGAAAAAACTGAAAATAGCAGAGCACAAGCTTTCTTTAATTATTGTCCAGTTTTTTTGGAAAAATAGCGGGGTTATACCGTCATGTCCGGGAGCTTTGTTTGGGTTCATGCTGTCCAGAACTCTCTTCACTTCTTCTTCAGTGACTGTGGCCAGTAGCTTTGAATTCATACTCTGAGTGATGGTTGGTTGTATACAGTCAAGAAAATGGCTTGCAGCTTTCTGGCAATCAGAGGTAAAGAGATTCTTGTAAAAATTAGAGATGCAGTTCCCAATATCAGCTTCAGATTCAAAGACTGAGTTGTCACTTCTAACCAGTCTTGTAATGGCATTGGTTTTTCTTCTTTGAGTTGTGTACGCATGGAAGAACCGTGTGTTTTTATCACCCTCTTTTAACCACTGGAGTCTTGATTTTTGCTTCCAATACATTTCCTCTGCCTTGTTTATGGAGTCAATCTTGGCTTTCAGTGCATTCCATCTATTCCAATCCCTGTTATTCCCCATTGCTCTGAGCACTTCCATTTCTTCCGTAGCCTCCTTCAGAACCTTGTCATTTTCTGATTTGAAGTTTGCACTCCATTTGAGGAGTGCTACTCTTGTGGCAACAATCTTCTTCTGGAATTGATTCATAGGGTGACCACTTTGGAAACACTCCCAGGCATTCTTTATAATATCACTCACCCCTTGTCTAAGAAGCCATCTTTTATCAAACACGAACCTCTTGTGTGATTTTTTACTTGTTTCACTGGAGTGGAGAACTAAAAGGCTGTGGTCTGAGGAACTGAGATAAATGTTCTTGATAATGGAGTTTGGATTAGTTGTTATCCATTCTAGAGAAGCAAAGTATCTGTCAAGCTTTTCTTCAACATATTCCTCACCTTCTCTACAGTTCCACCAGGTAAATTGATGCCCTTCTAGAGGGATTTCCTGCATGCTTATGTTGGCAATGAATTTCCTAAAGTTCCAGAAACTGGCCTCTGATCTCACTCTACCTCCTTGCTTCTCCTAACAGTTGCAGATATCGTTCCAATCTCCTCCAATCACCCAATTATCCCCCCAGTTTCTTCTTGCCTGCTCCAGATATCTTCTCTGTGACTCCCTTTCCATTGCTTCGGTGCTAAGGTAAACAAAAATGATCCACGCTTGGCCATGGATTGAGCTTTGACAATATTCTACTTCAATGCAAAATTTATGGGTTATCATTTGCAAAATGCTGATGTCTTTGTCCCAAAACAGTAATAGGCCTCCACTTTTTCCTACTGGGTCAACCACTTCTGTTCTTTTTTCATATCCCAGCTTTTTACATACTGATTGAACATAAGGTCTGTTCTTCCTTGTTTCACTAACAAAGGCAAAACAGGGGAGGTGGAGTCTGAGAGCCTCCTTAAGTTGGGGAACTATAGAGGGTCCTCCCAAACCTCTACAGTTCCACACCATAGCCTTCATTGGGGGGTTATGAGCCATTTGAGGCTGGCTTCCTCCACCTTTTCAATGCTTGTGGCGTCTTCTTGTTGTTTGATTTTCTTTCTGCTCTGAGGATGTGGTTCTTCCTGGTTTGTTTTATCAGCAGGACTAGTAGGGGGTGGTCTATTTCTTTTTGTGCCTGCAATTTCTTTGGGGTCATTGATGTTTTTGTTGCTGACCTCTTTGCTAAGTGAAGATTGAGGATTCCTTCTCCATTTCTTTGTTGTTTTAGCTGAGCTGGAAGGGCTAGCCTGGATACAAGGTTTATCTTGCTCTATCACCATCTTCGTACTCTGGCTTTCATCTTTCTTGGGTAGGGCTGCAGTATAGTAATCCATGTTAAGGCTGGATAGGAAGAGAATAGGGGTTTGGATAAGTGTTTCTGTTATGTCCATATTTTGAGGTGTGGGTTCAGAGTTTGTGGTAAGAGCTGGTGAGGGCTTATCCTTGATAAGGAGGAGGTTGTCTTGATGGGAAGGGGTATTTTCATCTTGGTTAGGGGGATTTGGTGTGATGTGTTTATGAGCACTTGTTGATGTTTTTGAGTCACCACCAGAAAGAGGCTGGGGAGATGTAGAGTTTATGGGAGAGGGTGACGGTGATGGTGATGGAGAGGAAGATAGGGATGTGGTTAATGGTGATGGAGAGGATGTAGTTTTGAGTTTGCGTATAGGGATATCATGAGCTTTCAGCCATTCCCCGTACTGCCCGGCTTGAGGATTACCATTTTCTATATCACGTGCTCTAATCTTGCATGTTCTGTCCAAGTGACCAATGAAGCCACAATAGTAGCACATGTTCATCAATTTTTCGTATTTGAAATGAACTCTCTGAACTTTATCTCTCAGTTGAATATTGGCGCATCTCAGAATTGGTTCCTCCAAATTCAATGTGACCAGCAGTCTCAACCCTCTTCCCATACTGGAGCTTGTATTCCCAAATACCACGTTCTTGACTTTTTTGAAAGCTTGGCCTATTTTAAGCCCCACGTCTAGACTTAGCCAATTCAGTGGGACATCTTCAACCTGCACCCAGATGTCCATTTCCTTGAAGCATGGATGATTGGAGTTAATATCTTCAATCCAATCTCGCAGGAGTAGATATTGGTTCTCGTAGGACCACATATTACCCGCAGCTACTTTCTGTTTGTCAGCCAGGTCATCAAATAAAAATTGGAAGAAGTTCTGATCCAATTCTCTAATCGTAATGGGATTTTTAATATTCCATATTTGGGTTAAGGTTCGTTTTAGCCCAAAGAGCCCTGCTTTTCTGTCCCCGATAATCTTCCCAAACAGGCTTCTGTTGCATTCATCCTCGCTCAATTTAATATCTTCTTGCTTTAGGGGGATAATATCCGCTTCCCTTGAGGATAGCGAGAACGATCGGAGCTTCTTCTCGAGATTGTCCATTGCGAAGAGAGTTCTGGCAATACGAGGTCAGATCTGCAAAGCAAAAACCAAGCGAAGAAGGACGGAGAGAGGGAAAGACACGAACAGGTTTGGGAGTGGAAAGTTCCAGAAGGTAAAAGAGGAGCGGTAAAAAAGAAACCCTAATTGGAGAGGGGTAGTGGTGAAAGAAGCCAAACAAAATTCGAAAGACTAACAGACAAATACTTACAGGCTACTTGCTTGGATGGTAAAGCCTTCAATCGAAGGAATTGAAGATGCACTCTCATCTGAGAGAAAGGGAAGCTCCCATTGGAGTCACTCCTCCCTAACAAGAATAGAGTTATACAGTACCTCTACTTTGATTCACTAAAAAGTGAGACTCATTTTGTTGGATCAATAATTTAAGTGAAGTCCATTCACAACTATCATAATTATCTATAAATTAATAAGATATTAATTATATTTCATAACTAAATCTTGACCAACGGTCTAGATGATCCAACAGTCATATTTGGAAATTTGATCGTTGGCCAACTGTTGTGGAACCGGTGGGTCGGGTCGAAACTGAACCCAGACCTGGACCGTGGAACCGAATTTAAAAAAAAAAAAATATGACAGTTTGATCTCCAGTGGCAAAAAATTTTCAACAGCCCAAATTAACGGGCTGCCAACGATCCAATACCGGGCCAAATTACCGGGCTGACCCGGTCGACAATTAAAAAAAAATGAAAAATATAGCGGGTCATCTCGAGGGCGGACTTGGACCCGGTCCACTGACCTGGACCCGACCCCTATGCCATTGGACGTTCCTTTTGTTGGCAAGCTTTGCTTTTAAATGTTTATGACCAATACAAGATTTCATTGTGAACGTTCTCCAGTATGACGTTGCTTGGTTTCAAAGCTTAACTCTAGGACGTTTCATAGGGCCTTAAGCTTTATCCTGGGATGTTTAGCTATACGATAAGCTTGAAATTCCAAAGTTCTAAATGTGTTGCCCCTTCCCTTTTAGACGTTTAGCTTCAAAGTTGAGCTTAACGTTTGGACGTTTGTTTGGCTTTGAAGCTTAGCTCTTGGATGTTTGTTTTCACAGTCGAGCTTCCACGTCGGACGTTTCATTGGCTTCTAAGCTTAGCTTCTGGACGTTTGCTTTCAGAGTCGAGCTTCACAATGGTACGTTTATTTGGCTTCAAAGCTTAACCCTAGAATGTTTCTTATGTCCTTAAGCTTTCTCATGGGATGTTTAATTCTATTATAAGCTTGAGTTTCAAAAGTTTTAAATGTTTCTCTTTTAGACATTTAGCTTCAGAGTCGGGCTTCACGTTTGGACGTTTCTTTGGCTTCCAAGCTTAGCACTTGGATGTTTGTTTTCACAGTCGGGCTTCCACTTTGGACGTTTCAATGGCATCCAAGCTTAGCTTTTGGACGTTTCTTTGGCTTCCGTGCATTGTTGTTAGACGTTTAAATATTTTTTTTCTAGTATTTTTTTTTACCACTGGAATATTTTTATAAATTTATTATTTTTTATTATTTTTTTCGGGAAACAAGTAGTAATTTGAGGTGACAAATTGTAATCCTAGTTATAAAATATACTGCCTCTTTTTTTTGTTAAATGTCATTCTGGCTTTATCAATAATTAACCAAATAAATGACGTTTTGGATCTTTTGTACATATTTTTCCATTATTACCTTCATCTAGCTAATAAATACACTACATCTTTTCATATTCACTCTTCATCTTTTCTCAAAACATCCATCTCTATCTTTTATTATTGACAATTTTTTTTTAATTAATGCGCAACTTTTGAACTGACACTTATTAAAAAAAGGGAGTAAAAGGTATCATAACTCAAATTCACTCCCCACTTGGAATTCCACAAAATTCCATAACCGGACGTCACCTAAAATTTGGGACCGAGTGTGGGTAACCAAGTCATTTCAACCATGAACGAAATACTGCAGTGACTGCCAAAATGAAAAAGAAACGTGAGATCTAAGGGGGGTGTAGTCCTTTATGATTCTAAAAGACTTTTAAGGATTTTACTAAGAATAAGATTTTATGGGATTTTATCAATTTTTATGGATTTTGTAGGATTTATTAGAAATCCCCAAAAGTGATATGTGGAATTGTTCAGGACTTCCATAGATTTCTTAAGACTTTTCAAGAATTTTGTGGACTTTTATTATTGATTGAATAAACATCAACATTAAATATATAAATATACCATTGTGAGAACTTGTGAGAAAATTTATACATGAAAGAAAATAAAAATCAATTTGAACAAGGAGAAATGTGAATTTTCTATTTTATTGTTTGTTTATTTATCTTTTTGTATAATAATAGTCCAATTTGTTATAATTTTTTATTCTATTCAATAAACCACATTCTCAAGACATACAATAACTATATTTTTTCTCGCTTATAAATTTATTCTATCAAATCAACCACATAATCTCAAGAAATAATTATATTTTTGACTGACAACATTAATAACAATTATGTTTGAAACTTTGGTGATATTATGATAATAATGTCTAACCTTATCTTTAAAGAGATTCTATAAAATTTTGTGTGAAAAATTAAAATATTGGAAAATATAAAGTAACAATATCAATAAGATGCAAATTTGATGAACACGAAAGTTTCGCGTCTAATACAATTTCATATAAAATAAAAATAATAAGCAAGTCCAATTTCTACTTTATAGCATCATTCCACATTTCATTTGCTATTGCATCCCTCCATGCATTAGCAGCCGCTCTTTGTTGTTCTTGCCTTTCAAAAAATGGACCAAAATTATCTCCTTCGGTTATTGGACAAGATTGACCTGTTTCTTGTTCAAGTTCTGCTGGAAATTCATCAGAGCGACATTCTTTTCGTAAAAAGTTATGTAACCCTGCACATGCCAATACCAGCACCGCTTGCGTATGAAACGAAAATGGAGGTGCCGATTTGAAAACCACAAACCTTGATTTGAATATACCAAATATTCCTTAACGAAGAATGCCTGAGATTAAATAGTTCCTTGGAATCGCTTGGGTCACGACCTTGACCTGTAAAATCATTAAGATGGTAGCGAGTCCCTCGATATGGAGTAAGAAACTGTCGTCTATTTGGATATCCACAATCGGCCAATAAGTACTTTCCTGCAAATAAAAATATAATTATCTCATGCTTGTGACATTTAATACCAGTGCATTAAAGAAATATGAAACGAAAGAGAAAATTATGAATTAATACCATCAGGAATTTTGAGTCCGTTTCTTCTTGTTAACGCATCCGTCAAAATTTTTGAATCATGAGCTAAACCCTCCCACCCACTGAGCATATATATAAACTCCAGATCAAAGTTACAAGTAGCTAAAACATTTTGCGAAATTTGTCCATGCCGATTCCGATAACTGCTTGTATCATGTCCTATTACCATTGCTGGAATATGTGTGCCATCAATAGCCCCAATGCAGTCCTAAAATTTTTAAAATTTTCAACATTAGCAAACAATATAATGATAATATAAAATTAAAGTAAAAATGTTATTACTTACTTTGAAGTAGGGATAAAATCGTGTACTTTCTCTTATTTTCTGGGGAATGGCAGATCCTGGCTTAGCCAACATATCTACAGCGTATTTGGTTAGTGCTTTCAAACACTTTGTTGAAATTCTGGCTGGTGGTGAAATGTGATCGACCAAATACTTGTCGTACTTGACAGTATCGATTATTTTATCCAACAATAAGTAAGAATGTCGCAAGCATTTCCTCAACAAAAACAAACCTTGTGTCGCTCAAGAGTTGTTTCTCTCTAATGATACAACATAATTTCAAGAATACATCTGGGTACATTCTATAGACCTCTCGGAAGTCGTTAGAATCTTCCCCAAGTATTTTATGTATATAATCATAACCATCCACGGTTTTCGGCCTTCTGCTTAATGAGTAATTGACACGATCATGGCACATATTAACCATAAGCACATTTGCCATGTAAAAAATTTCTTGAATGAGCAAGTATGAATACCGAATGTATTTATATAACTCTTCTCTCCTGTCATCTTCTTCAATTTCATTTATGTCCATTAGATCATCTTCGCGCATACCAGTATCAGACATTATGTGATCTGTGATAATTAATAAGAGATGAAACGACATAAATTAATAAAATTCAAATAATACACAAATTAAAGATAAATAATTTCAACATCAAACAAGCCAGAAAATTCATATAGTTCATAGTACTCGAATAACATAAAATCCATGAAAATAGAAACCAAGTCCAGCCTACTCAAAACAATGGACATAGACCTAGAAGTTCATAATAATCTTATTATATATAAATCATTTCAACTTATATGCTATCCACTCAGCTCGTTCATCCGGGGACATGTTAAAAAACTCTGACTTTTTTGCTTTGGTATTAAGCAAATCAAGAGCTTTGAAACGATCCTCAGAAGTTAAGCCTGGAATCTCCTTAATCAAATCCCAACAGTTGTACTCTTTTGTCTCAATTGATTCAATAGCTCGAGTAAACTTCTCCACATTTGATGTAAGCTTTTCTACAAGGTCTTGGGTATCTTTAGGATCAAATGAGGTTTGAGAATCAGTTTTAGCTCGTTTTCTTGGAGGTGGATGGGGCTTCGAGTATTGTTGTTGAGTTGAGGTTGGCATGAAAGAGTTCTCGGGAGATGGTGGAAAAGGATCTTGGGTACTTGATGGAATAAATGCATCACTTGAGGGATCATATGTGAAATCATCTAGCAAGCTCCCACTTTCTCTATTTTCTTCTACAGTGTCGTCTCCTATGGCAATAGAATACGTCCCTTTAGCTGTACCGTTACCAACTGCAATTCTCAGATCTTCATAGTCTGGATGAGGGTCTGTCCGTAAGCTTGAATCGTTACGATGAGACTGGTAAAACAAATAACAAAAATAATAATTGTAAATTGTACCAAACTTCTTATTTAAATTGTTAAGATATGACTTATATATTATTTATACAAAAACAAACAAAAAAGGGGGGCTAACCTTAAAGTAATCTTCCCAGATTTCATCATTCGAAGTGAAGAACTTTGTTTCAGAATATCATCCAAAGCTAGAGTTATGTCGCATAAGCTCATTGTACTTGACATATTGTTTCCAAAAATATTTCACTCGACTTGTATATTGATTATAAGTCCGAGTGATCCCTAACTTTTCATTCAAAGGTTTTAGTATATGTCTTTCGACTGTTATCTTATTTATTTTCCCAGCGTGATCACGCCAACCACGATTACTAACATCAACCATAAGTTTAAGAAGTTCATTGCTCTCTTCAATAGTCCAACTTTGATATCCTGAACCTTGACATTTTCTTTCATTGGATCTCCCATTGTCTATTATATATTGTTTAATAAAAATACAAATGAGAAAAAAAAAAAACAAAAACAAAATAAAAAACACTTGTGGTAGCACCAACTTTGGCCTTAAGGACTTAATCCCCAACAATAGAATGAGACTATTATTTTATACACCACATAAGATTACTTTTACAAACTACTTTTAAAAATTTCAAGAGAATTCATATAAGAAAAAAGTGACCACTTTTACAAATAAAAAAATGTGAATTCTGTTACTACTTTTATAAAAAAAAAATAAGAAGTGACCACTTTTACCTTCAGGATTGCAAACAAAACAAATTATGAATTCTGTGGTAAAAGCACAACAGATTGGTTTTAAGCAGTACAAGCAAATTTAATACAAAACATAAAAATTTTCAATTTTAAGAAGTAATTCAGCTAGCATATGCTAAATTCAACTAAACTCAATGCAATAAACCTTACTAAACATCGTATCATAGAATAGTACAAAAGAGGCATAAAACAATTGATTATGATCAACATCAAGTACACTTATTACTATGTGTTTTCTATCCTATTTCTTTTTTTTTTCAACCACAATTTGCCATACCTTTCTGTTCAAAATCAAACCCAAAACAGAAACTTTCACATCAATTGCACAACAAATAAAATTATCCCAATCTTGAGCTATAAATAAAGATTTTTTTCTGTTTTATTGATTACTTTTTCTTTTCTTAAACTACAATTTGTCATCCTTTCTGCTTTTTCAAACGCAGAACAAGAATAAAAATAGCACAATTGCATAGACAATAAAATTATCCAATCAAGAATAAACAGTGAACCTTCTCCCAATCCTAATCAACTTGGGAAAAGGAAAAATCACCATGGTAAAAGAACATAATTCAAACAGAAACACCATTAAACATATATAATAATCACAAGAATTGTTATACACCATGAAATAATTTCATACATATACGGGAAACAGAATCAAAATTGTTATACAAAAACACAATTGTAAACATATATGCTAATCACAAGAATAGATGTTGGTACCTTTGAGGAGCAGAGTATGAGTCATCCCCTTCGTAAGAGAAGTCGTCTCCTCGTAAACCCTTTTCTTGCAAAATCTCAAAATCTCTCATAAATTGGTGGGATTTGTAGTGGGATTTGGTATATATACTTTCTCACTCAAATCTCTCTAAATCCAAATAAATGACAAATCCAATAGAATTGAAAAGGAAATGAATATCTCTTGATTTTATGGGAATTTAAAAAGTCCATATTGAATACCTATAGATTTTAAGAGACTTTTAAAAAGTCATTAAAAATCTAGGGGGGTGTATTCAATTCGGAATTTAAGTGACATTTTAAGACTTTTCGAGATTTGAGACTTTCTAGGATTTTCAGATTTTGGAAGAATTCTATGAAATCTCAAGTCCGGAGGTAGGATTTGAAGTGTGATTTCATATAAGGTTTTTTGTTTAGAAATCCCACAAAATCTTAAAAAGTCTTAATAAATCCTAGTGTCAAAAAATTAAATACCTCAGGATTTTGTAAGACTTTTGAAAATCCCAATTGAATACCCCAGGATTTTTAAAAGTTTTAAAAAGTCTTAACAAATCTAAATTGAATATACCAGGATTTCTAAAGTCTTAAAAAGTCCTTAAAACTCCTAATTAAATACACCCCCTTAATTGAATACCTCAATATTTTTTAAAATCCTAAAAAATCTGATTTAAATACACCCAAATTTCATAATTCTTAAAAAGTCTTTAAAATTCTTTAGAATTGTTAAAGGAATACACCCCTCAATTTGGAACTTCAAATCTACGATCGAAAAGATTGCTGTAACCATACAACACCATTTTTCACGGCCTCACATGCCAATTTTGCAGACGCGCACACTATTTCGTCAGCTTCCTATGAGAAAGTCATCCATCTCACTGTAGCTTATAGGCCTTAATTTCGCCCGATCCATCTTCTGATTCATCGTCCGTACGTTATATCTAGAGCCGCTCGTAAGAGTATCCATTCTCGTAATTTTAGCTTTCATTTTTTTTCATTTATGATTTCTCATGTTGTTATGACGAACTGCGTATTATGTCAGTTCTCTGCTGTTTTCAAACGTTTGATTTGGATTGATTTTGGGTATTTGATCGTAGATCTGCGTGTGGTCTGGTATTCTGCTTAGTTGTTTTAGGTTTACAATTGAGAATAAATTCTTGTAAATTCTGAGTTGGTTTGTGGAATTCGGTGTTAGTAATTCGGAAGAAAATGGATTATTACGTTTCGATCATGCATTTTGTGGATCGTAATAAGAAATTGATGTGGTACTGCTGGATGCCAAAAGTCGTTCTATTAGAGGCTGTTGATATTTAAGGGTCGCGATTTCCTGTTAATTTTAGCTCGTTCATATTAGTTGAAAAGACGGTAACGATAATGGAATCCATAGACTCTAGGAGTCCGTTAAATGCAACTATTTTTGTCCAATTCCCTGTGATAAATTTGCTTTAACTGCACAGTGTACATTAATTACTGAAAACACTCGAAGCTGTACAACAATAGTATATTTACCCTTTTATTTCTTTCTCTATGCTTTAGTCGAAAAGAATAGTAAATTTAACTTGTCAATGACATATTTCAAACTTAATTGTTGGATGGTAGTAGTTTATAATGCTCCTGTTGCTCGTGCTGCAGTACATTGTATCATTATTTTCTTCTGCTGATCTGCCTGTAGTTATGGGAAAATGATAGTTTGCTGGTTTATGAGAGTTTAGCTTAACTATTGAATGGCATCATAATTATTTGGCTGTCATTTGGTTAACTTGTAGTTTCTGTGTAAGTAACTGAATTAAAATGACAAAATCAATTGTTTAATAGGTTTGTAGAAACGATCCTCTTTGCTGGTTTCCATTTCTACTGTTTTTTTTATAAGACATATTATCTTCTAAATGGTTCAACATTAGTCATGTCGTATGTATACTTTGGAGTAAGGGGCCACCATCATTTGCTTAAAACATTGTGGTTTATTAGTCTGAAAATAGAAACATGCTCAAGGAGAGTAATTACTAATGTTTTTCCCAGTGACATCGGATTACAATTTTAAATCGATTTCAAGTACATATTGTTGCAGGGATTGATTGTTTAGATTGCGATAATTTTAATAATAATAGAATGCACTCCCTTTCTATCTACGTTAACAAAAGCTAATTATGGGCAGTAGTTGATAATAAGCAGCAGGATTATGCTTGTTAGTTTCCATTAATGCTATCTAAAATATTTGTGTGGGTTAGATAATCGAGTGGCATGAGGTACCGTCTGATCCATTTTCAGAAAACAATCTGGAGCTGACAGTCCTTGTAGGATCCTACTTGGACAGTTACGTAAACAGTGTTGATGAATCTTCATTGTGGCCTGAATAACCATTGTGTGACTTAGTATGTGACATTTCTGTCCTGAACTTAAACTTGAAAGTAATATACTAATTGTACCAATTTCCAATTGCAGGTCAGCTTGCGTATAGCTTGTTTGGTGATATTTACGTTCTTTCCTTCTATTGAACGATGGCTCTTCTATTGGTTTCAAGAAGGAATTTGTGCACTTCTTTCACATATTTGCTTCTGATGTTCCAAGCCTGTGGTTTTTATCTACCGGGAAGCTATATGCATACATATTCAACAGGGGATGAAATTTATGCCAAGGTGAATTCACTGACTTCCATAGAGACCGAGCTTCCTTTCAGCTACTATAGTCTTCCGTATTGCAAGCCTATTGGGGGAATCAAGAAAAGTGCTGAAAATCTTGGAGAACTTTTAATGGGAGATCAAATTGACAACTCTCCATATCGTTTCCGAATGAATGTCAACGAGTCCGTATACCTCTGCACCACTCAGCCATTGAATGAGAATGAGGTGAAGCTTTTGAAACAGAGAACTCGCGACCTATATCAAGTGAACATGATTCTTGATAACTTGCCTGCCATGAGGTTTACCAATCAAAATGGGATCAAAATCCAGTGGACGGGATACCCTGTGGGATACACCCCTCCAGGCAGTAATGATGATTTCATCATCAACCATCTGAAGTTTAGGGTACTTATACACGAGTATGAAGGAGCTGGTGTCGAGATAATTGGTACTGGAGAAGAGGGCATGGGCGTCATTTCCGAAGCAGACAAGAAGAAAGCTTCAGGGTATGAGATTGTCGGCTTCGAGGTTGTTCCATGCAGTGTGAAATATGACCCAGAGAAGATGACGAAGCTCCACATCTATGATAATGTGACATCTGTCAACTGCCCGCTAGACATTGACAAGTCTCAGATCATAAGGGAGCAGGAGAGAGTCTCGTTCACGTATGAGGTTGAGTTTGTGAAGAGCGATATCCGCTGGCCGTCCAGGTGGGACGCTTACCTGAAGATGGAAGGGGCTCGAGTCCACTGGTTTTCAATCCTCAACTCATTGATGGTGATTTTCTTCCTGGCAGGCATAGTTTTCGTTATTTTTTTAAGAACTGTAAGAAGGGATCTTACAAGGTACGAGGAACTGGACAAGGAGGCTCAAGCCCAGATGAACGAAGAGCTTTCGGGTTGGAAGCTTGTGGTTGGTGACGTGTTCCGAGAACCTTCACACTCGAAATTGCTATGCGTAATGGTCGGTAATGGGGTTCAGATAACTGGGATGGCAGCTGTCACTATCGTTTTTGCAGCTTTTGGCTTTATGTCGCCAGCTTCCCGTGGCATGCTCTTGACTGGTATGATTTTGCTTTATCTCTTCCTCGGAATCGCTGCTGGGTACTTTGGTGTGCGCATGTGGACGACTATTAAGGGTTCGTCCGAGGGGTGGAGATCGGTTGCTTGGTCGATAGCATGCTTTTTCCCGGGGATCGTTTTTTCTATATTGACCTTCTTGAATTTCATCCTTTGGGGAAGTAACAGTACTGGCGCCATCCCGATTTCCCTATTTTTCATACTCTTTTCCCTGTGGTTTTGCATCTCGGTGCCTTTAACACTCGTGGGCGGGCTTTTTGGTTCAAGGGCCGAGATCATTTCGTACCCTGTTCGGACCAATCAAATCCCCCGAGAAATACCTTCTCGAAAATACCCCTCGTGGCTTCTCGTTTTAGGTGCAGGTACACTGCCCTTCGGGACCCTCTTTATCGAGCTTTTCTTCATACTCTCGAGTATCTGGCTCGGGAGATTCTATTACGTGTTTGGTTTCTTGCTTATTGTTCTTTTGCTGCTGGTGGTTGTCTGTGCCGAGGTTTCTGTTGTTTTGACTTACATGCATTTGTGTGTCGAGGACTGGATGTGGTGGTGGAAGGCCTTTTATGCATCTGGCTCGGTTGCGCTTTATGTTTTCCTGTACTCGATCAATTATCTGGTGTTTGATCTGCAGAGTTTGAGTGGGCCAGTGTCTGCTTCGCTTTACTTGGGTTACTCGTTGATAATGGCTGTCGCGATAATGCTCTCGACTGGGACTATTGGGTTTCTTACTTCGTTTTACTTTGTCCATTACCTGTTCTCATCCGTGAAGATTGATTGAGAAATGTTGATCGGTTCTAGTTAGGGCTGGTTTGGGGAAGGATAGAAAGTCTCTGAGCAGTGTATTGAGATNAACCGTCTCAGTAATGTAGCTTTTGCATATTATACACCCCACTTTGGCACTTTGTACCCAAGTTCATATGATTAGTGTGGAAGAGTCGGGTGGTGTGTTTCATTGTCTGAGTCTGAATTACGCGCTTATCATGTTTGTCGTTAGATTCTGATAAAGATCGCGTAGCAGTACTCAGATTTTTATGTGATGAAGATCGCGTAGCGGTACTCAATTTTTATGTAGGAACTCGCGTTAACGGTCTTGGTTTGAACACAATAAAAATGTGTAAACCCGCACTAACGGTCTTGGTCGACACAATAATAAGTGAAAAAAACATGCGCTATCGGTCTATGTTTTTCACGAATAAAGTACTCGAAAATGAGTCTTTTTCTTAAACTTTATTTCATAAAACTTGTCTTACAATGACGAGTACATGGGTTTTTATAGCCTAAATCTAATCTTTCAAATATTCAAATTATAACTAACACATTTAAACTAAACATATTTAAAATTTAAACAAAGAAACTAACATCATTTATCCTAATGCACGGTCATTTCCGCCTTGGTTCCGAGTCTGGTTCGCATCATTCCTTTCCCCTTCAAGTTTATCTTTGTCCTCAAGGACATTACCTCCGAATCATTCTCCTCATACCTCTGTAGTCGTCCAAACTAGGAGGACCATCGTAACCGGCTGACCCGTACTTGGTGGCCATGGTGATGATGCTTTTTTTTTATTGATACGCACGACTAACCAACCCACACACACACACACATACACATATATGTGGTTGGGTTCACATGAGAATGATGATTAGTAAAAGAAATAAGAATAAATCGTAGCCATTAGATCGGATGATTTAATGGCTAAAAAAAAGTCAAAATTTTGGACTCATTAAGGGTAATTTGGGTATTACCATTACACATCACCACCCACATCACCACCCACTCACCTAACACACACAAAACACACGCATACACACACAAAACACATGCACACACACACACACACGCCCAACACTCACAAACACACGCAGTCCATTAAAAAAACAAAAAAGAAAAAAGAAAAGAAACTCTACACACACACATTCACCCCGGCCCGCCTCGACGTCCACTCAGCTCTGCCCGACCGCCACCCGGCTCCGCACCACAGTGCCGCCGTTCGTCGTCATCCTCTGCCGGATTCCGGCGGCAACATGTATTCACTTAAATTTCGTGTTAGTGCATAGCTGCCGGAGAAGAACACCATCTCGCCACGCCGGTCGACCTCCATCTCGTGTTGCCCGCCGTCTCTGCTGCCGCCGTCACGCCTCCGTCACGCCGTAGCTGACGTCGAACATCACATGAAAAATATCATCTGATTCCTCCACCGTCGCCCAGTCTTTGTCGGTCGTCACGATTCGTCTCCTACGACCTTCCATTGGCAGCCAACCGTCGCGTTGTTTCAACAGACACCCTTCGTCGCCGACCCATACTCATCTCCGGCGACCACCGCCGTTCGTTTGGAAGAGCTGCACGTCGGCAACACGCCATCTCTTTCTCGGCTCCTTTTGAAGAGGAGGATACTTCTCATCTCGGCAATGGAAGGGAATTCCAAACCCTTCTGGATGTGCAATAGCAAGAGCCCAATTGTCTTTTTCCAACTGTTTGACGTGATTTAGCTGAGACAGATTTCCCAGTCACGCAAATAGTTGGTGAGAATGTTAGACAAGGAGAATCTCAAGCCCGACCTAAAACTTTTTGGGAAGATCCCAATGCAGCTGGGGGGTGGGCAATGAATCCTTTCCCCTGGGTAAAGGGCAAAAACCCGGGAGAGATTCGGGCACTCTTCCGAATTTCCACCACGTCGGCGTCTGTCAGAACGCTCGGTTCCCCAGGAATTCTATCTCATCATCTGGCCACTAGCGCTCAGGTCGCCTCCAATACCCCTTTGGCGTGGCCTTGGCCTCCTCGACCTCGACATCTCCTTTTGCGTCCCTCCATTTCATCACGAGACGCTCGACAAAGAGAGTGTCCCACCGGTAATACTCAGCCGCCAAATTTACGTCTAGGTCTCCCTCAGATACCGTCCTACTACTGCTGGAAGTCGTTTGTTTCGCGTTAACCTACGCCATTTCGTTGCGAGTCGGAGAAATATTGAATTAAAATTGCACAAAATGAAAGGATTGAAGTAGTGTCTTACCGAAAATATGAAAACCTTGCTGGAAAAATAGCCGGAAAAGCTCATGTGCACTCAAAAGCGGTGAAACAAGTTAAAGGAGTTCGAAACTTCGAGAGTCTAGAGATTGCAAAGGTAAAGTCATAAAAAAGATAAAATACCTTGTATTTATAGGGGGTTTTCGATACCCATTGGAGAACAAGCGCGTGTGATAGATACCCTTAGGCGAAACATTTCAAAATTTTCCATTAAAGCTAATGAACCAATCAGAAGCCGACGCGTGTGTAACCACCGTTAGAAAAAGTGGGGCCGTTTTTCAGATCCGTTGTACACGTAAAATACAGGCACACCTTTTCGTAACCGTCACACCGTTCCGTATTGAAGGCCGTTAACTTAATTAAAGCTGGCCGAGAAATTTAACTTCCGCGCTAAGTATTTCAAGTCGGTCTGCAAAGACAATGGAGACATCAGAAGCCACCACTACCCGTGTGCTTCATAATGTCGGGGGCCTCTATGTTGACAACCGAACTGACTAGCTCGATCAGAAGGCGCCGCGTGGGGGTCGATCGCATAATCAAATTGAATGTTGGACAACTAGAAGGAAGTTCGATTTGGCGTAACTCGGTACAAGTTTGAAGGAGAATCGACCTCCGCAGCGGGACGAGGACTGACTTCCATGAAGAACCGAGGTCATGAAGGGATAAGGGACAAATGGGACACCTGTGTGCCAGTCGCCCATATCTTCATCATTACTTGTGGGACCGCCTGCAGACTAGATCCCCATAGGCCATTAAATCACATTTAATGCCGCCGAATTATTCTCAAAACACGAGCCAGGAATTACTATAAATAGCGGCATTTACTCATGTACCAGGATCTTTTCCCAACACATTAAATACTCTCATAAGATAGCTTGGTTCCACATAAAGCCGACCTCTTATAATAAAAACCCGACTTCATAATAATAAAAACTCAGCTAAATTTCAGCTTTTTATCTACTTAATCCCAGTGATTATCGTTGTTAACTTTCATATAATAACAGATATATTAAGTTTTGATTGTTTTTTTTAAGAGAGTTAATCTTGAAAGAAAAAGTTGATTTAATTAGTTTTAGTGAAATTTTAAGTTTGTATTAAAATAGCTTTAAAATAAAATAATTATGTTGATGTGAGAAAAGTGATTCAAAGTGACGTGTAGTCAAAATTATGTGAGTGTATGAATATCATTAAAGTCGATATGATTTATAAGGATGATCGATTATCTAATTATATAGATAATATTGAGAATAGTAGAGTTAGAGCACGTTTGTTTCCCAAGACAGGATAATATAAAATTAATCTTTGGACACAAGATTGGGGTGTAGAGATATAAACCATCTTGTGTTTGTTTTCCTAGATTCATGGTACTTGAGATTATATTTTTTAAGTTTGTTTCTTGTTTNAGAAGATGCAATATCGTTTTGTACTTCTCGAATTTGGGAACTCATTTTGCAATATTTTTTTCAAAACATTCATCATGCAAAAGTTGAAACATAAAACTAACCTCTGCAGCCCTGTGACCCTTTTCTCCACTTTCCCTCTACTATCCATCAATCACCCATTGCACAGGGTTGTTCATGCTAAAAGACAAACTAGTAAATGTGGATAGTTGGTTTGCGCAGCTTTTAAGATTTGCAACACTTTCAAAAATCTTTTACACATTATGGCCATTACTGACTAAAACATGTGGCCTACAAGGGAGGTGTTTTGTATTTTTCTTTTTAAAAGGAATCCAATGTTTCATATTGTAGGTGTACACAAACCTTTCACTACACTATAAAACTATATCACAAAGGCATGCACATTCGCTCATTTGCGAACCAAAAAAAGTTGTTCTTAAGTATTTATTTTTCCTCTCATTTGAAACACAACGCCACGCCTTTCCACACCTATAACGCAAGACGAATGCCTCTACGATGGTCGTTGGACTAAAGAGGCTGGCAATGTTTTTGTTGACTTGCTGATAGAGTCGCATATGCTTGGGCAGTGGAAAAATGGTCGTCCCGGGGGTGTGGTCTTCGATTATTGCCGCGGTTTTCTCATCGGCGAGCTGAACCTTATTTATAGTCCCGATGAGTTAGAGGCCAGTTCGACATCCTTCAAAAGCAGTACCAAGTTTTTAGCTGGATGCTAGGCAAGCCCGGTTTGCGCCACTGCGTTCAATCGAACATCCTCACCACTCCTGTTGCCGTTTGGGACGAAATCTTCGAGGTAACATGACAATTTTATAATATTTTTGGTGCCATTGATAATTGTTTTTGCATTGAGTAATGAGTAATGAGGATTTCATAATTAAATTTACGAAAATATTACAAAAACCAATTTAATACGTGACTGCAATTTATGTAAATTTATGTAAATATTTTATTTCGTGTATATTATCAGTTCGACGTTTTTAGCGTTTCTTATCAACATTCCGGTGACCCCCGCTGGGAAGACTTGCGTTTCATATTCGAGGAGGTGTACTCTACAAACCCAACTTCTGAAGTTGTTCATGACTGCAACTCTACAAACGAAGGTTTTTTTTGCTCTCCCTGCTACACGAACTAATGTGGTTTCAGACAATTCCTATCACAATGCTTTGCAGAAGCTTTGTAGTCGCAACAATGCTCATCCCCAACACGGTGGTCCACACGATGCCTCGTCCGAAAGCTCCGTCAACACGCATGCCCATGTATTAATTAATAGGGTGTGTAGTCGAACGCCATTGCGCATTCAACGACCACAACACAAGCCAGACCCGGCTTCTTGCAAGGGTTCGACTGGCGATTCACACGTTTAAAGTATCACGCATGTTACTGATTCCTGTTAGGCGCCTAATATATGTATTCTATGTGTTTTTTTGTTTTGTGTGTCTTGTGGTTTAATGTAGACAAATAATGGTTGAAGATGTTTTTTATGTACCTTGTTTATTGACTTTGTTTGAAGTATGCCTACCTACTTAACGTGGAACGCATAATGTTTTGTGTGTTACATATTGGAGAATGATTTTTATTTATTCGGTAAAATAGTGGACATTTGTTTCCCAATTAATTAAATCGACCTATGAAATGGCAATACCCCCTTTTTAACAATACACATAACAGACCCAACCTTGTGGATAGTTCTGCGTTAACTTTTGATTTGTTTAGAGTTGATCACTTTTTATCTTTTGTATCTAAAACTAGGGTAAGGTGTATTACAAGGGATGGGATGTTGAGAATAGTTTCTGTAAAATCTGGTTCAAAGTACAAACTATTGGATAAATATTTTATAGTTCATGAAATGAAAAGGACATGATGAAAATAGGCATACGTAGATACCTTAGCAAAATAGTCCATTAGTGCGGCGATAAAATAGTCCATAAGTGCGGTGATAAAACAACATCCCCAAAAGATACATACTGTGGCAATCTAGTACATACAAAATTATGCCACTTACCCATAAAAACATAGACAACTTCTACTTTTAGTGAGACAACATTAAACCAAAACGGACTTACAGTCTACAGGCACCATATACTAGTAATTATGCTAATACATAATGCAAAAACTTAATAGGACCTTCACGTAGAGTTATATCTAGTCTGAGTCAACGCAGGAGTCGACGTCTGTGCCGATATCCATTTCCTCTGGTGCCTCGTCCGATTCAATGTCAACCAACTCGACTGCGGCGGCTTCAGCCACGTCTTCTTCCTCGTAATCTGCCTCCACGCCTTCAACCACGTACTCCTCCTCGCCGTTCATGTAGTCCACCTTGGCGGCCCCGTCACCGTCTTCATTCCCGACAGCCAACTCAGCACCATCAACATCGTCTCCACCGTTGGGGTCATCGGCAGCAACATTTTCCTCATCCGTGTCGTCGAACATGATCGGGTCATACACTCTTTCACCGGCTTCGATGTGCACATCAACAACACGTCTAAGATCCCACAGCTCCACACACTCTTCGTATCATGGGAACCTCACATGACAGAAATAGTATTCCAAGTCCGTTTCCTAAGAAATGAATGGTGTCAATCAAAATAGAGAATATAAAGTAATAGGCAACCTATGCTTGCCTACACGTTGCATGCATGCCGGAACTAAATTTACTGTGCCGTAACAAGGTATACAACAATATTGCACAAAGGTACATAAAACAAACCTGACAAGTATGTAGAATTTACAGTGATAAGACCCGATTCCGCATGCACGTTGACACCGGGAGTCTTAAGAAACTTAAGGAACTCCCGAAAGTTCCTGTGGAGTGCCTTGATCTTAGCCTTAACCTTCACCATGGAGAAATATGTTAGCATCTCTTCGGTCAAGTGTATCGAAAGTTGGGGCCATAAGGAGTTGAAGATGGCAGGTACGTTGACGTCGGGGGTTTTACGACAAAGGTTGAAGAAAAGGCGATAACGCTCCCTCTCCTCATTCGCTGACCAACCGGGCCGACGATACCTCTCTACAATATGTAGCATGCTAGCATGACGTTCCGCATTGTTCATCTTCAGTTGATGGTACCTGTAATACGACCACAACAATTCCCGTTAAAGAATGCAGTATATAGAATATGAAAATCGGCTGTTCAGTTCACATAAGCAACGTTTATGAAGTAAATGCAGGAACATCACCTGGGAGTTATATTTTTTGCCTCAAAATGAAGTTGACTAAAAGCCATTTAACTCAATCCAATTAAATATGGAAGACGTGCGAAAGTTGTGGTAGAGTGAATTTGGTAGGTCTCATTGAATTACACATTAAAGGCCCTTAATTATCTCTGATAGTGTATTTTACTCAATTGCCTCTTTAAATGATGACAATCATTGTTGGAGTGGTAGTTAGGTGGGGCGGTGGTTGCAGGGGTTTTTAATTTTTTTGGCTCAAAATTACGTTTCTGTAGATTTGATAAAAAATAGAAAATAAAATGTAGATTGTTCTGTTTTCTTTTTTTAATGTGTGGACAAATGGTATATTCTGAACAAGTGTGTGAAATGAAGAGTGTGTGGTTATCTGACTGCGGAATATTTGTACACATATTTATATCTACAACAATTGAATTTTTTGGTCTTTTGCTATTTGCATTACGTTCCATAATACATGAAATAATGTCGGCTTCAAACATTGTGTGTAAAACATAAATACCGGTTTTACCGGACAATACCAACCAAATTACCATTTAAAATACAGCGTACACTAGATTTAAAAAACATACGATAAAAAAAATATTTTCTAAACTTGTTAAAACTTATTAGTATAATTTTATTCATACAAATGAAAAGTTATACACTTTATTTTCATATATTTACACTGTTAGATTTTAAATAAAGTTTTTGTTGAAGATACTGTCATAATTATTTGTGTTCTAATAATAAATTAATGTAAGACTAATTAAAACCGGTAAAATGGTTATACTGGTTGACCCTTGTACCGGTCACTTGGTTAGTTTGATCCACTGTACGCAATTTAAAACATTGGTGTTTTGTAATTGGAAGTGTTTAGTGTTTTCGTTTTACCCTCGCTTTTAACAATACTTCATATTTTGACTATGTAGCGTATGCAAAAAATAAAAATAAAAATATTATTGGGCTGGGAACCGAAAAATGTTTTGCTTCTATGCCATTACAACTACGACGAACCGTAAACAAAAACATCCGGGTTGAAAATAGTCGGTTTTAACATCTCTACGTGAGGCAAAAAATGAAAAATGAAGGTCGAGGTCATAGGAATTGTAATAACAACTCATTTTGACAAATTAGACATAAACTTTTTTACACACAGTCAGGCAATAAGCCAATTCGAGAAATATAAAACTTTTTACAAACACCTTCACAAACCACACATCCCATGCATAAATATGTCTCCTCATCTGGGGATATCAAAACATAAAACATTCAAAAGTTGGCCACATTACGGCCCTTAAAGGCAAAAGGCATAGTACGGACATCAATAACAAAACACAATAGAAGGTCACCCAAGTTTGAAAGCATACATACTTCGAAACTACAACCTATTTTCGAGGATCATTTTCACCATTGACGCTTTTTCGTCATCATCCACGTTGAAAAAAACGTCCATTTCTTCTTTGTTCCTACAAAAGTACTTCGATACGATAAATCTTACTTCGGTAGTCAAAAAGGGAATACACTTCAATGCCTCATACAAAACCTTGCGTTGCTCCTTCACATTGTGCTAGACCCCAATACGTTCCACCATTTGACACCACCGTTGATCGGCCTTCTCGCATAAAGTAGAAAGTAGGCCGACAACTTCAACCTCCGCATCTTTAAAACATTTACGTTTGCCGACCCTTTTACCTTTCTCGGATGCACTACTTTCAACACCCTGTGGCGGAGATGACTCTATTTCATTCTTATTGGATTCGAAGTCCCCACCAACCACGCCACGCCTTACATTTTGTGCAAGGGCATCGTCACTGGTATTACTTAGGACACCTTGCACCGCTTCTGCGAAACCTTCAGCACCTTCACCTGTTGCACGGTCCTTTCCAAAAATGTCCACCAAATCACTGTAAAATGGCCAGGAATTGTTGCGCAATCCTTTCCCTTTTGGGTACACCTTCATGCATACAATATTTGGTTGTGTAGATTTGCATAATAAATAAACAATTTAAATAAGGGAACAGATAAAATATAAACTGAACAAAGTGGAGATTAGTTTGATGACTAATGCGAACCTTCACATAATCTTGCCACACGGGCTCTTCTACTTCTAGTATGTGGCCGAATTCAGACCACCCAACACCGGACGTGTTCGAAAGCAGTGGTACAAGTAAAACATAGTTTTTTTTCCATACCGTAATTTTCGACGAGATGTGAGGCTCGGCTCTAATTGTAGTCCCCAGAAACTGTTGCTGCATATATTGTTCTAAAAACATTGTGTACCCAGAACGGAACCCATTATCAGCTTTCCATCCACGTGCAATGAGTTCCTTTAATCCTTGGATTAATGCACGTTCTTCTTCAAACGTCCAAACCCGCTGTTGATTGTTTACGTTTGGCCCACGTCCCACGCTAGCTGTAGAGTCCATCACTAGTCAATTTGACATACTAAATCATAAGTAGTCTAACATTTGCAACATACAACGAGTAACGATAAATGAAACATAATGAACTCCGAATATAAAAAAGTATAACACATTCGGGTGGGTGAAACATGAATGTATTTTGCTAAAAAACACAAGTGTACGCAAGTACATTTCATAATGCATCAAAGTGCTCCAAGTAGACAACATAAACATTCCAATGAAAGAAATAAAAGAAAGGAAAAGGATCGAAAACAAATTCAATTGTTGCCACGCCACTCATTAAACATTGAAATAGCTAGTGTTTCCCTCCAAGCAGTCCACTCATTAGTAGGCTCAACCACTTCGACATAGTCATTTGGTGGGTGTAGTGGTTCTTCCGTGTTTGACTCCATTTGAAAAACATCATCGTCACCATCCATTGGATCAATACTCATTGAAGTACGAATGAAGTTTTGAAGAAGGCAACACGCCAAAATCACTCTATTTTGAGTGACTATGTCGAAAAATGTTTTACTTCTAAGGACGGCCAACCTCATCTTCAATACTCCGAAGGCCCTTTCAATTACGTTTCTTGCTCTAGCGTGTCAAAGGTTAAATAATTCCCTAGGATTTCTAGGTACTCGAGGACCTTCAGTGAGTTCATTCAAATGATAGCGCACGCCCCTAAATGGTGCTAGAAATCCCGAACCGTTTGTGTACCCACCATCGCCAAGATAGTAATTACCTGTGAAATCAACAAACCGAAATAACTTATGTAAACTGTTTGGAATTGAAAATTATATTTAATGTGTACGAACCCTAGATTAAATTAGGTAAATTTTTTCCATTACGAAACTCTCACCCGTTGGAACACGTAACCCACGATCTCGCCGTACCGCGTCCCTTAACACTCTACTGTCTGCCGCCGACCCTTCCCACCCGACCAAGATGTAAGAAAAGTTCATATCCACATCACATATGCCTAATATGTTTACAGAAACACTACCCTTTCTATTACTTCGGGTGCAGAGTACTAGGAACACGTACCGAAACATATGTTCCATCTGATGATCCCAAGCATCCCTGGAAGGCATAATTAAAAATAAAAAGGAGAACAATCAGAAAAAAATTACTTTTAGTTGTATTTATTTCAATTGTTTATTATTTATTAAATACTAACCTTAAACTATTTTCATCTCCAATCATTGTTCGACTCCAGAAAAGGTTTAGGTTTTACGACGATAATCGGGTGTAAGCGTAGCACAGCTCTAAGTACTAAATGAAAAATTTTGCTAATAGTTTGACCGGATCGTTTAAAATCATACTTAACCACTGCTTTTTTTTTTTATGATGGCTTAACACACTCAAGAAAATGGCTACTTGCTCACTTATTGGCACACTTCGACTGCTCTGTAATTTACCAACATGCTCCAAAAGGTAGCATAAACGACCGAAGGCATTTCTGTCCATACGTAGTTGTTCGACACATACTCTGTCACTAATGCATATAAGCTCTTGCATATGTTGTACTTGCCTAGTTAGTCTATCTGACATTTTGAAGAAAGGCCGTCCATTGTGCTCTGGAATTGTAAGACGGTTTTTTTTTTTTTTTTGCCTCACAATTTTCAGGTACAAAATGGCAATAAAAAACACAATGGTCAATGTATTCATTATATCCTCAACGATCAAAAGAACTTCGACTTCATCCATGTAATGTCCATGGCTACAACAATTGCAAATAAATATGCAGCGTTAAATGCGTACTTGTAATATGTATTTTTCAACTATTTTGCACCCACAAATCTGAACACCAACAAATCAGGTCAACATAACACAACAACAAATGGATTCACAGCATGCATAGTCCTAGATGGCTTCACACTACACACAGTCCTAGATCACCTCAACATTATGAGAATATTTGCAAGCCCTTTCAACCATTTTGCAACCACGAAACAAAGACACCAGAACGCAACAAAAATCATAAATCGAAAGTCAATATTTATCAAACCACCCATGTCATTACCGTGTTGCGACTAAAACGGCTCTGCTGTGGAAGATACTGGCTTTTTTTGCCCTGCAGGTGTACAAATAATCCGTTAACCACACAGCTGGCAAAAAATTAAAAAAAAAAACTAAAACAAGAACCCCAAAAACAAACCTAATCACTAACATATAAATTACATAAACGGAAAAAAACACAACTAAATACGTAGTTCTCAGAACATGCGATACAGAGAGATATAGAAAGATCCTCACCTGAAGAAGCAATGCCATAAGAGATCTGGAGTTGGCGTCAAGTGGGCGGGGAACGGGTCAACTTCACTGCTTCAACAGGTCAACTGGAGTATTGCCTTTATTTTCTTCAACTCAACTCGCTCCACTCCTAACCTGCGCTCCTCCGATGTGGCAGCGGACGGTCGGATATGGGTGGTCGGTCCTTGGTTGCCGACGGTTGCTCGATCTGTGGCGCGGCTCCCGATCGGAGAACGAACTGCGATTCGGTCGTTGGCAGGTCCTCGGTTGGAAGTCGTCACCTTCCGATCTGCCTCTGGTCTGCGAATTGAGGATCCCTATCGAATGGCATCTCCTTTTCCGGTGACGCTTCGGGTAAAGTTTGGCCTCCAATAGCCGGTGGATTGCGGTGGTGAGGTGTATGGGTCTACTCGTGGGGTGGGGTTTTGGCTGCATCGTGGTGGGGCAAGGCTTCAGCTGGGTCCCACGCCGGGGTTGCCGGAGTTGCAGAACGCGCCTCTTCCTATCTCCCCTGTCGGCTAGTGATGTTAGGCGGCGGGGGTCCTGGCTCTCCCGAGCTCGGCTAGTGGTGTTAGACGGGTTTCGGGGGACTAGTGTGGTGGCTGGTTCTTGTTTCTCTTGATTGGAAAGGGGTCGATTCGGGGATTGGTTCGGGGCTTGGTTTCGACTACTGTATAGACGGCTCGCAGTTTCGGTAGTGGTTTCTCGGGCTTAGAATCTTCCTTGTGTCGATTGTTCACTGTTGATTGGGTCGGTCAGTTTGCTGGGGGAGGGCTCTGCGTGTTCTTTTTGTGTTTTTTGTAGTCCTTGTTTTGTGTCGTATGTGTTGTTTTTGTGTTAGTATTTGTGTTTTAGGTTTGGGCCGTTGGCCTCGGTTAGTCCGAGTGTAAACTTATTATCCTGTGGGGATCCTACACTCGGACATTATCCTGTGGGGATCGTTTGTAATTTTTTTGTTTTTTTTGTGTATTGTTTGTGTTTTTGTGTGTGGCCGATCTATTCTAGCATGACTAGTTCGGTTTCTAGGCAAACTTCGGATTGACCTCCCTGTTTTTTCAGCTGTTAGTTGGGTCATTCAACTAGGGGCTGTAACTTTGCACATTTGTGCGTTTGTTTAATAGTAATCTCTATCGTTCCGAAAAAAAAAGGACACTTTTGTCCTATAAAATTACTTTTAGGGGCATTTCAGACTTTCTAACTTATTTTACTGTTGGGACATGTCGAATCTGACCCCCCCTCGGGCAGATCAATTAATCTATGAAAAGTTGGATTTGAGCACTGTGCACTCGGGCCGCATCCCATCTACTGGACCGTAATCATGCTAAACAAACGCGGGATTTTGGGCGGATAAGGAGTCATGTCCTGGGAAACAAACAAACGTGCTCTTAGAGTTAACACAATAAAAGCAGGTGGAGGGGTATAAATTCAAATCTCAAGTCTGTATTAAAACAAATAAATTTACAGATTGTTTTTTAAAATAGATTTGCTGACTGAGGAAATTAGACGATGACCTTCGAACAGAAAAAGAAAGTGCGAGTGAAGGTTTCAAATGGCGAATCAATCATCTTCTCTTCTTCTGCGATGCGCTTCCTTCAATCAAGACAACAGGTTTCCGCATCCAAATATCATTCAATAAACAGATCGAATATGGTTTTTCCTGTGTTTCTTTGATTATTTTTTCCTTATTTTTTCTTTTTCAGCTGCTTTGCAATCGGAACGAAAGATGGATTCAAGATTTTTGACTGCGACACAGGAAGGCTTCTCTACGAACGCGGTATTTCAATTGTCAAATTGGTTTGAAAATCCTTTTGCAATTTTAATATATATATATTTCTTAAGGAGATTTGTCAATTGGGAAGTTACTTTGTCTGATTAATTTATGTTTATGTGGTATATGTACGATTGCCAATGAAATATGATGAATTTTTATGCTACTGAGGCTCGAATAAAAAAGAAAAGAAAAGAAAAGAAAAGAAAAGCAAAGCAGTTATGATTTTGAAATTCTATGTCTACTTTTGTGCTCTCTTGGTGTTAATAGGTTTTAAAAATTGAACAGTTTACAGCCACCATGTGATCTGCAGTGCTGTCACTTGGCTATACTTTTTTGGTCCTAAGTTTTATGAATGATTCTAATATCCAAACATGTATCAATTGCGATTACTAGAAGGATCAAGTAGTTAAGGGTACTAAATCAAGTTTTGCTCTACTTTAATATCCTTTACCAGAAAATATTGATGCAGCCTAGCGTGAACTTCACTTGTTTATTTATTTATTTATTTTTAGCTCAAATGTCTCCAGAACAAATATTTAGACATTTGTACATTTGATTTGGAAATAGGCATAAATGTGTGTCGATTTTGAGTATGAACATAATATTAGGAAATATTTTATGGGGATGCATCTTTACTTATCGGCTACCTACCTGAAAATATGTGCTCAGGGTAAGTTGGTACCCACAGAGTTGTTGTTCCTGTTATAGATCAATTAAGTTCTAAAATGATATAAATATACCATAAAAGCTTTTGCGCTTTAATTGAATAAAAGAGTAGAGATGAGACTCTTTTAGTATTACTGATTATGCATATCAGGTCCTTGACTTGAACTTGATTACTTTTTCTAGTTGTTGGGGCATTCAACATTGTCGAAATGCTATACAGATCAAATCTTCTTGCCATAGTTGGAGCTGGTGAACAGGTCACATTACTCATTGTTTTCATCATTGTTATAGTTACTGGGATTATTTTTTCACGTGTCAGTATGCATCTTTTTCCACCAGCCATCTTTATCTCCAAGGCGATTATGTTTGTTCAATACCATAAGTGGAGCTGCAATCAGGGAACTCAACTTCTTGACATCCATTCTGGCAGTTCGTGTAAATAGGAAAAGGTAGATATATAAGTTTCTGTGAATGAAAGTCGTTTTAATTGATTAAATACTTGGTGGTTGCATGAACTTGATATTTGTCTGCTCTAACATCACGTGTTTCTACTAAAGTACGTGCCATATCAGTACCAATGACGATGGTCATTGTTTGTAAGATTATGCAGAGAAGATCGTGTATCTTTCTTAGCGCAAATCATACGACTGTTTATAGTTATCAAGAAATTATTTCTTTATTTTCTTAGTTTCATGGGATTGCTCTGTATATGCAGATTGATAGTTTTATTGAAAGAGCAAACCTACATCTATGATGTTAACACTCTAGAAGTAAAGCGCATCATCGATACAGTGCCAAACTTACAAGGTCAGTTTTAGAAAGTTGCAATGCTGTTAAATTTGATCTTCTCAATAAATTACGTACACTATTTACTTGTACTATTGTTTGAAATTGAAATTGTTCTCTTAGACTTATTGTTTGATATCCTGAAAGTCAGACCATTAAAGTTGTAATTCTAATCAACCGCAGTTTACAGAACTAAAAAATCATTTGTCATACTGGATAAAAATATTGCTTAACTGACAGAAGCTTATTTGTCCTGAACCTGAACTTTTCACTAATAAAAAGTGGCGTCTTGATTGAACTGTGATGCAAAGCATTTCGAAAGTAAAAGAAATAGAAAGGATGGAAAATAACAATTAGACGATCCCCTTACTGGACTGGTCCTTCCCTACTGAAGCAGGGGCTACTTTCTTTGGCTCTTTTTTCTTGATTTCATTGGCTGTGGATGTGCATCTGTTTCTGCTTTGCTTGAAATAAGTTGTGATTTTGAAATCCTGATAGCTTTTTACTTGACAGTGCTCATTTATCTTTTCAAATGTCAGGACTCTGTGCATTTTCAGCAAATATGGATAACCCGTACGTGGCCCTTCCAGCTAGTACAGAAAAAGGGTCTGTATTGGTCTACAATGTCATGGATCTGCAGTCACACTGTGAGGTTTGTTACAAATACTCATTCATAGCCGACTCTTTTCCCTGCTTGCAGCTAGTCATCACCCTCTTATTTATATAATTCCATTACCGATTTCCAGCCACTAATACTGAACAATCATTTCTGATTTCATGCCCTGGACAAATCTACTAATCCGGCCCTACTTTTTTGCAGAAAAATCTACTATTATTCCAATTATTGATATGATCAGAGACTCTGGTCCCATGCCTACCTTTTTAAGTTTGAACCCTATATGGAAAGGGAGCTTGATTTGGTTCTATAATTTTAACCTAAGCTTCACACTTAGGTTCTTTTAGGGATATCACTTCCCAAACTCAGTCTCAAACCATGGCAAGCTAAAACATGAAATGAGTTAAAAAACAGTCTGCGGAAGCATAAAGTAAAAACATTCGTTAGTCCACCCTCGCCAATTTGTGTCCGCCGCCAGCTCGATCAACCTGAAAATGATAATTGTGGGGAGTGAGCAAAACAAATAGCTCACCGTGGGAACCATACTACTATAAGATTATTCGATACAAAAATAGATATCATATTTTAAGCATGAAACATGTAAAACTGGTCTCAGGCTGCCCTTCAGGCATCCCCCTTCGCAGGCATAATACATCTGATTGCTCTTCACAGGCATAATACATCTGATTGCTCTTCACAGGCATCGCCAGGCAAAATGTAACTGAGTTGCCCTTCACAGGCCGAGAGCAGGCGACATTTAACACATCACATACATAAAACAGAATATCTCGCGTTTATAGAGTATGGTATGGTATATAAACACCCCCACATATGCTGACGATGAAATGCTCGATGCCTCTTCGTGAGGGCTCGACTCTTCTTAATCTATAAATTAATACTTTATTTAATTATTAAAGGATTCACTTAGAAAAATTATTGAAGAATTAGTTTTGAATTAACTTGTTAATTAAACCACGGAATTAAGATAATAAAACAACTCTTCTAACTCTCTCTCGACTTTTCTAAGCTCGTCTAGAGTTCTCGGATAAATTCTAAAGCACAGAAAATTCTAATTTTTAACTAGTTCGAACCGGCCGGTCTGCGCACAGTCCAGTGATTAAAATAGCGCCATGGCGCGAGGCGAGGCGAGGCGGGGCTTCGACGCCTCATACCCTTGAGGCGAGGCGGCCTTGTGAAAGGCGACGCCATGGCGTCGCCTCGGATGTAGCGTTGCGTAGCACGAGGCGACGCCTTACGAAAGTGAGGGGAGGGATCGGCAGTTTAGGTATTTTTAAATCTAGGGTTTCATTTACCCGAGATTAAAACTTATCAATTAACAAAAATTACTTACCAAACTACAAAATACCATGTGCCTTCTGTTCCACCGGCGACGGCGACCATATTCCGGCAGCTAACCGGTGACGGCGACGGCGAGCGGTATGCGTTCCAGATTTTCCTTTTCTTCTTCTTTTTCTTTTTTCCTTTCTTGCTTCAGTTATTTTTCACCAGCGATAGTGCCTGTTGTGTAAGTCGCCGATTCCGGCTAAACTTCCGTCGCCGGTGGCCGGCGGTGTTGATAGCAGCCGGCCGGCCAGGATGAAAAGAGGATGAAAAGCGAACAGGGGGTTGGGCTTAACATGTTTTTTTATTTTCTATTTTTATTATTTATTTTGTTTATTTATGAATGTGGAGCATTAACTTGGTTTTTAATGAACAACAGACATTATATGATTATTTTAATTGGGAATTTGGCACAATATGGGATTGTGGGGTGGGTTGATGTTTATTTTAATTGGGATCATGTGGGTTTATGATATCTCTATTTGTAGTTTATTTGATGTTGTTTTTATTTTAATGTGTGGTGTTTTATTGATTGTTTATTAGCTATTATAATTTATTTTTATATACCCCCCACCCGAAGCTACCTGTCACAATTTGGTAAAATGTCACATGTACATATATTTTTATTTTTTGTATAATGGCTCGCCTCGCTTTCATAAGGCGGGCGCCTCGCCGCACGCCTCACGCCATGGCAAATCCGAGCCTTGTCGCCTCGGCTCGCCACGCGCTATTTTAATCACTGGCACAGTCACACCCGTTTTGGCTCGCTGGACAACTCGGGTCGACCTGGTGTTGTGGCTGCCTAGCTCGGTGCTAGCTTGAGGCCCTGAACTCGGTTCAGACTCGCTGGCGCTGGGCACGGGTATGCTCGTAACAGGTGCGCTGCCACGCATGGAGGGACAACGCAGGGTCGTTGGACACGGTTGATGAAGATCGCGTGTCCCAATAGCTTGGTTTGCCTCGAAGTTGCGCGCGAACGGCCCTTTCTCGGCGAATGACGTGAAGATCTCGGAGGTTTCCTTGCCTTTACGTCGATTTGAGACAGCTCGTACGGATTGTCTTTGCCAAACTCGGACTTGTGTTGAACGATGCGATGAAACGCCCTTTTCGGCACAAGGGTTTTACGCTAAAATTCGAAGAGAAATCTAACACAAGAAGTTTGAACAAAAGTTCGGTTTTTATTAATATAAACGATGATGAAAAGTGCCCTAGTAACATGAGTATTTAAAGAGAACAACTTAATCTAGTCCTAATCGAAATAAGCTTCTGATCCTAAGGAAAGTAAATAACTAGAATCCTAAAATATCAAAACTAGTGCACTCTTAAACAATCTAGGAATAATAATAAAGCATGTGAAAAACTAAGCCATGGGACTTCTAGAAGAATTCCTTGACTGGCCGTCAATCAACCCTAGCCGCCCGTTCCTCGTATCTGCGTCCCGCGCGCGATAACCTCTCACTACTCTTGCGGGTATCCACTTTCATGTGTGTGTTCGCACGTTCCCGCGTGTCCGCACGCACCCGTGATGTTCGCGGCTAGTTGGTGCGCGTCCTCCTCGCGCGTCGCCTACCACCCGTGTCCATCGCATTAGCCTCCGCGGCACGCCGATAACACAACTGCGCGGATTTTCGGGCTTCACCGGGTACTACCGGAAGTTCGTCAAAGACTATGAGTCGATCGCAAAACTTCTCACTGAGATGACCAAGAAAGGTGGGTTCAAATGGTGAATATCGTGTATCTCCCTAGCTTGGTTTGCTCCGAACGCGCGCCGAAAAATCCTTGGCAATGGCGCCAAGAACTGTTCGCAAAATATTTTCACTACCCGCAAGTGTACGGTGTAGCTATAGTAAGCGGCGAGCAAGGTCGTATTCCACAGGAATTGTTGCAAAAGTAATTAAATACCAAAATGTAGACGATTAAATATTATTTAGACTAGTGCAAATTTGAGTGGAGATTTAATTCTAAACTAATGAATGATTGCAAACTAAATTCTAACACTAACGAAGGCTTGTTCTAAATAAATCAAGAATGAGAAAATGGATTCTAGGCTAAGTTTTCCTCTGGATTATTCTAGCAAAGATTTCTTATTTATTCAAACCTTATTTAATTCTACCAATTGTAGGGATAATCACTAAAATAATTTCAACCATTCTCTCGAACAAGTTAAATCGTAGATATTAATTGTTATCTATCACCTCTCGGTCTCAAGATGAACAACTAACTCCCATAAGCTCCTAGGATTCTAGTTCCTTCGCAAGATTCTATCAACCTCTCGGTCTGTTTAGTCTCCTACGTTATGAATTTCCCAATTCTAGAAACCAACTATCTCCTCTCGGTCTCAAGTCAATCACAAATATGCACAAATACGGGCCTTATATTCACACAATTCATATAATCACAAGAAATTGATAAACGAAGGATAGACCGGAATGAATAAACAAAATTACTTCATAAAATAATCCGAGTACTCACAAATCCTAGAATGCCTTAAACGTTTAGCTACTAAACATATTCTCAAAACTCAAAATAAATAAATCCATTAGTTCAATGAAGAAGAAAAAGAGAAAAGAAAGAAGAACTATTGTCGCCATTAGTTCCCGAATCTTCAATCTTGACGTCCTCGAATCCCTCGTGTGTTTCGTGCTTTCTCTTGGCCTCCAAAGGTGTCAAAAGTCCCAAAACCGAGTTCTCCAAGTCCCTTTTATACTGTAGGCCGAATATGGGTTGAAAAAGGGAAGAAATCGCATAATCCTACTCCTTGCTGAACTGATCTGCGCGTCACACGAGTCGTGTCACATATATGACACGACTCGTGTGACATTTGCTCCAAAAAAATAACAACTTCCAGACTCACATGACCACCCACACGACCGGTCACACGAGTCGTGTGAGTCAACACGATTCGTGTGATATGCCACACGACCTGTGTGAAAAACCCGTAGCCAAAACTGTCTTTTTTCCATCCACACGACTCGTGTCACTGACCCACACGTGTCTCGAACTGCACCTCGTTTTCGTCGTTTTTTGTCCCGACTACATTTCTAACGCTTTTTCGGGCATATTTCCTGCAAAACTAACGACAAAAATACCTCTATCATAGATTAATAAATAAAACAAAATGGTGCACAATCAAACGATAAACACGGCCAAATGTCACAATCTATCATCCATAATGCATGAAAATATGATGAATGTCAACTCCCTCAAACTTACACCCTTGTTCGTCCCCTAACAAGAATAAGAAAATCAAAACTCAAGCATAATGAGTAATATCAAACTAGAAAAGCTTCAAGTCATTCAATGCAACGAAGAAAAATTCAAATGATTATAATTATCATGCCTTGACTACTATCTTGTATATCTACCTTGAATCAACGAACTTATAAATAGGAAAAATATAAGTGCCTCACTCACATGTCATCAAGAGAAGGATTCGCTCAAGTCAAATTAAACACCCGGGTAACTATATGTTTGCCAATCATCTAGAACTCTACTTCAAACACAACTAATAATCATGAGCTTCAAATCAAAAGGTCTTTTCGGGTTGTAACGTAGGCTATTTGGTCAAAGGTAAGATATATATATATATATATATATATAGGTGAAGTGGCTCAAATAAATCATTCGTGTAAATAGACTAGTCGACTACTCCACTATTCCTCTCTAATCAACATAAAGCGTTTCTCATCCCAAACCAAAATAATCCATACACAACTCATAAGTGCTCACATCAAATTGCAAATGAAGTACTAGACCTTTTTTTTCTTTTT